GCTTCGTCGATGGTATACCTATCGACATCCCTGTTTTTGTGTCCGTCGCACGCTCTTGTTTGTCTACCGGTTTTCTTACTGTCGTTGTCCAAGTTAACTGACAACTTGTTCCGAAGACCTGTCAGTAGGACAATGATGTTACTCAGCAAAACTACAGCATCCGTGCTGCACGTGACACATACCCATTTTTGGTCTGACTTGCTGAGTCTGTTGTAAGCAGTTGATGTCAGATCTGTGCATGCTTCGTGGAACCAACCTTTGCAGTTGTCGCACTGCATGCCAGTTGCAACAGCAAAACGGCATCCCGGACGTTTGCATGAGTTTTTCATGACTATGTTGAAGCGAACTATGTTATAGATGCTTGCAAGAGCCTAAGACCTTTAAAAAACACTAAAAAGCACACTGAAAACGGACAAAAATGGATAAAATGAGTGTTATAAACTGAAACTAGTCTATACGTGAAAAACAAAAACAAACCGAATAGTATACTGAGGCAAAACCACAGGTAACTATTAAATATGGTGAAACTCAAAAAATAGTAATCTACCGAACGTATAGCTCAGGATAGATTCTTTAGAACTGAAATGGTACTTTCATTGCGTAGGAACACAGCAAAAGTTTGATGAATGCAAATCACGTTAGTACTAAACTTCCCGTTCGAAAAGTCCTTAAGAATATGTCAAGTTGCTTTTTGAAGGACTCCTAGGAAGTCGCTTGAATTAGAGTAGCCAGCAGATAATTCCAGCAGTTGAATCCCTTTAAGGAGTGGAATTTGTGTCTATAGTCCGTTCTACTGTGTTGTGTCTCTAGTTTCTGAGTGTTACCCCTAAGTTTTGTGTTTGAGCTAAACCTAAGTGTTTGAAGGGATGTGCAAAAGTGTTAAGCATATTATAAGCCATAAGTAGATCACCTCTAAGACACTTACACTCCAATGAGTAAAGTTTTAGGGAATCGAAGCGCTCTTCATAAGTCATGAATTTGAGTCCCTGTACTGATTTCATGGCTTGCCGTTGGATACGTTACAGTGTCCTTATCCATTTAGAGCGAGAAAGGAAATACTATGTTTCCGTATTCTCAGTAAGTACGAATCAAACTGTTGAAGATTATGTGACAAGTTCTACCGTCAAACGGGCTAAAAATGCGCTTCAGTTTTACCAGTGCAAGGTTTGTTTGATAGGCATTTTGTCACATTTAGCGTAAGACTTCAAATCGTAAAGTACGAGCACTTCTAAACCTTTCTCAACTTGCGATACTTCTAGAGAGGAGTTTTTAAGTCGTAACTGTAGTCCGCAACATGTCTCAGACTGATTAATTTACACTTTGAAGTGTTAAAGGTGAGTCCGTTATCGTTTGCCCAACTTTGAAGTCGAGTCTGTTCCACCTGAAGTGCCTCTCGGTTGCGTATCTCTCTCCAAATTTTCACATCATCAGCAAAATGTAATTAGTCAGGCGATGCCTTTTGTGGAAGGTCTTTAATATAGATCAAGAGAAGAAGAGGTCCTAGTACTGAATTCAGGGGGACCACACTAGCGAAGTTAACACTGACCCCGTAATGTCAATATATCAGATGTAAATTGAGTCAGTCAATCAAAGATGATTTGATACCCAATCGTTTGAGCTTATTGATAAGACATACATGGTTGACCTTATCAAAAGCTTTGGAGAATTCAATGTAAATGACGTCAACCATCCCCAAGCGATCAAAGATGTTTTCCATCTGTCCACCGCAGTCACAGGTTGGTTATTATTAGAATGACCCCTCCTGAAACCATGCTGTTGGGGTGAAAATAGGTTTAGGAATAATAAACAATCCCGTATACCGTCGCATATCAGAGACTCCATAATTTTTGAAGGTACAGAAAGAAGGGCCACCGGTCGGTATCTTGAATGTTCGCCACATCTATATTTTTTGAAAATTATTGTGATTTGAGCCAGCTTCCGAATTTCCGGTAGTTTGTCTCGGCTTGGTGAGTGTGAGAACATCATGCTAAGCGGTGTTGCCATGATTGAAGATGAAGAATGAACCATATTCCTGCTAGAAGTGCCTTTATTAGGTGCTGCAGTTTCCGGAACACCAAGTCAGCGCTCATGTTCACTTCGGAAATTCCTGTTCAGTTGCAGATGAAGCTTTCATCATTATAGTTAATGTGGGCCCGTCGAGATACCCGAGAGTATTGTTCAGCCGAAAATGTACTGTCATCACCGTCGATATTGGTCTGTACATTAGCAGTTCGGATACTCCAGATTTGCTTGCCGAAAAGAGGCTGCGTAACTGAATAGGCTGTTCATATTAGAGACAAACTGATCGATAAGCTTTATCTGATACTGAAGCCTGTCTTTTCCAATTGCCTTCGTGCATATGCGCCTTATATGTTTGTATTGCATGTACGCGCCCTTGTTATCATTTCGTTTGTATTCTGCCCAACAGTGACGTCTGAGGCTTACCAAACGAAGAGTGCGGTTCTTGATGTTTTTAGGTTGCCTGTACATTTTGTGGAGGATGTTTTCAAGCTTCAAGTATCGCTTTATGAATTTCCATTACCTAATATCAAAGTTTGTGTGATCAGGATCCGTGTTTTCCGGTACATCTTGCACAATGATATTTCTTCCGAGGAAAACCTTCTCGCGAGATTCCTTAGGGATGTTTTGGATGAGATTGGGCTAAGAATACGGTATGTTAGGCTGTATTTTTACGTTCCAATCAAATTTCGAAAATTGACTCACTAGTAGGATATCCTCTACTTCGGTAGCATTAGTGAGTGCTACACGAAGTAGCCTTAGGTGATTTAGATGCTTAGAGTGCTTTCCACGAGTGCACCGTATGACCGTCAAAGGCTCCACCCTGAGAAGTTCAGGTTTCTTCTTTAACTCTGCCCAGAGCATTCTATTTTATTTGTCCTGCAAACTGAGGGGAAGATCAGGGTTGTCTTTAAGGTTCATGATTATGAGAGAATGGCGACGAACCGTTATTGTATTTCCAAGTTTTCCGGTGCGTTTAGGTTAAGGTTCATGATGTTTGGAGGTCGTAGCGAGTTTTCGATTCTTGTAAGTAGACTGAGCGGCCAAATCATCAGTTGATTTCCCTACAGTTCTGGGGACGTTCAACTTCTAAGATAAAAAGACTGGTCCTTTTCAACTTTGGTAACGGGATCAAATCATCTTCGGAGTTTTTGGGAACCACTGTTGCATTTAAGAACCCTGTGCTGGAAGACACAAGTCTGCTGAGGGAGCCTATTAACGTCGACGTTTTGATGGTGTTGAGTTTCACCATGTCATCATTAGTGTTATTACATGCTCCATCGATAGTAGCGCTGTCCAGATCCCTCGTCCGGTTTTCATTGCGTGTCTTTGTTTGTCTACCCGTTTTATGATTGCCTGTGGTGACAATTTATTCCGCAGACCTGTCAACAGGATAACGACGTTACTCAGCAAAACTTCAGCATCCATTTTGCACATGACACATACCCGCCTATGATACAAATTACTGAGTATGTCTTAAGCAGTTGCTGTGAGATCTGTGCACGCCTCATGGAACCAACCTTTGCAGTTGTCGCACTGCATGCCAGATGTAACAGCAAAACGGCATCCAGGTCGTTCGCATGAATTTTTCATGACCATATTGACGCAAAATGTTCTATGGATGCTAGCAAAAGCCTAAGACCGCAAAGAAACTGCACACTTAAAACGGGTTACGATAAGCCGAATTTAGTGTTTACGTGAAAAAACTGAAAAAAACCGAATAGTATGCTGAGGCAAAACTAAAGTTAACTATTAGGTTGTATAAAGCTCAAAAAAGTAACCTAACGTATTACTCATAATAGATTCTTCAGATCAGAACTTGTATACTTTTTTGTGTAAGAACACAGCAAAAGTTTGAGAAATACAAATCACGTTAGGTCTAAACTTTCCGTTCGAACCAACCAATGAACCTTAACCCATTAAAGTACAGGCGTCTAAGAGGTGACCTTCTAATAGCTTACGGCAACCCGAATACTTTTGATTACCCCTTTAAACTCCTACTTGAGCCTAGTTCCAACACGAACCTTAGGGGTTATAGAACTATGGTCTACTATGATATTAGTACTGCTCTAATAATAGGCCTAATCCTAAAATTATAGACATGTCATGATATAACTGCCTAATCTATAAGATCTTATGTGGAAGTTACATCATCGTCTATACCAACTCATTGCGTCATAACAATTACCAATACATGATGGAGAACAAGCTTAGGCTAGAGATAGGACAATATATCTATTATGGTTGAAAGATATAAGACAACAGGGACCACGCTTACATGGCCAAGCCATGCCATTCGATCAACTCCAACTTATTCAACTCCTTGTTCGCGCCTTCTACATCGGCAGCTATTTCTCCATGTTAAACATTGAATATTTATTTTCCGAGTCATCTCGTATTCAGATTGTGCAGTTATTGTCCAACGCCACTACTGGGTAACACCCCGAAACTAGAGACACAACACAGTAGAACGGACTATAGACACAAATTCCACTCCTTAAAGGGATTCAACTGCTGGAATTATCTGCTGGCTACTCTAGTTCAAGCGACTTCCTAGGAGTCCTTCAAAAAGCAACTTGACATATTCTTAAGGACTAATGATAATATCTTTCTATGATTCACCAATTTCTTTTTCCTCTATTATCGTTAATATACCAAGGTTTCTGCCTGGAATTCTTGTTGATCCACTTCTACTAGATACGAGAGCCCATCAAATTCTTCTGTTGCGTTGAAAACTATCTGAGTCATTCGAATTTTCGGCTACACGAAGCTCAAAAGCTATTCAATATTCTTTGAGTGATCGATTAATATAGAAACAATTGAGCTTGGACAGTTCATTCAAAGTTATGTGACAGTTCACTGGCTATACCCAACTGCAGTTCTATATTGTCAAGTACCTGGAACTGTACCGAAACAATGAGAAGAGATAATTAAGAAATCAATTGATCATACAAACTTGTGATAAAGATATTGGAGATTGAGTGAAAAGCGGGTGTTTTGTGACGTGCGTTATATATAGGCATTGTTTGTTCAGTTTGTCAGATTCAAGAGAATTTTGATGAGCGACAACCTGTGATGTGATATGTCTCTCACATACTTCCATTAGAGTAACAGGGTCTTTTTTGTATAATCTATTTAAGCTGTTTTTTTGTGTGAATTAGAATTTTTTCCATCAACAATCATTGCTCCCATTTCTAACTTCATCGTATTCCATTCATATGTGCATCTATCCAAGGGCAACCAATGTCAGTAATTTAGTGGATACAAGTCATACTTTTCCCTTTTAGGCTAACCTGCAGAAGTGTAAACTCAGCCTGTAGTTGGCAAGATGACTCACGTATTAGAATAAGCTCTTCTGGTTATTAGTATACAAAGATAGGTTTCAGATGTCATCGCTAACGCTCACGCTACCCAAATTTACGAATTCAGTTGTGATTGATGATTCATCACAGAAATAATGCAGATGAAACAGAAATTTAATTAGCATTGACTACGTGACATTTTCAGATTCAGATTTTTGTAGTGAGGACAGATCCTTATGAGACCGGACTACGGGTAGTGACACATTCCCTATGTTGTACGTATTAACCTATGAATCCCCCAAGTGCACGTAAACACACTTTTCCGCGTTGACAGACATCAGCCACTCTTTATATTATTTATATTATTTAAGTCTGTCTGAACAGTAATTGCGTCTTTGTCTCCAGTTATTACTCGCCAAATTTTTACATCGTCAGTGTATAACAACATTGGAGACTGTATAATACTTGTAAGATCATTAACGTACATTATTTAAAGTAAAGGACCTAGGACGGAACCTTGGGGTACTCCACTAAGTACTGGTCTCCAGATGGAGCACTTGGAATTTATTCTTACTTTTTGTCTACGACCTACTAGGAAATCCTTAATCCATTTTAAAAGAGGTCCGGCAATACCAAGGTTTTCCAACTACAATAGCAGCCTATTAGTTGGCACCTTGTCAAAAGCCTTTCTGAAATCTATGTAGACAACATCCACTGAGTTTCCGTTGTCTAGCGCATTAATCCAGAACTCCCTAGCTATAAGGAGGTTCGTTGTACAGGATAGTCCCTTTCTAAAACCATGTTGTGCCATGTTCAGCAAGTTATTGGTTTCCATAAATGCCGTTATGGTCCGTTTGATTATTCTTTCCAGTATTTTAATTACAACATTGGTGAGGCTTACAGGTCTGTAATTCGATGGAACTTGTCATGGACCTGTTTTATGTATAGGAGTGACGATTGTGTCCTTCCATTCCATAGGTAATACACCTATAACTGCCTGAATAGAGTCCATGCCTCTTGTACTGATGACTTTGAGTCAATTTCCCAGTTCTCAGCCGATGCTGCGGAGTTAATTGTTTGTATATCTGCCTTCCATATGTTAGGACGGGCCAGCTCAACTGTTTGACAGGCAATCTCAGCCATGAATTTGAATAAGACGATTGCATGGTCACTTCTCCCGAGTGGTGGGAGAAAAGCCATTTGACCAAAGTCATCACCGTGTGTGAAGACTAAATTTAAAAGGGAAGAAGAGTTTCTTAAGTCGTATCTTGTGGGATCTCTAATGTGTTGGTATAATGCTAGTCCAATCGAGGTTTCTAACAGTTTGCAGTCGAACGACGATATCGATGACCCTACTTCTCAGTTAACCTAGTTTATATATGGTGCATTAAAGTCGCCTAATACAAGGCTTTTACCGTTGTTACACCAGGACTTAAGTTTAATTAGGAGAAAATCATCCGCTACATATTCTGGACTGCGATATACTACAACTACTTCAATATCTTGCCGTCGGCATTTCAACTTACATCTCACCAGTTCACATGTCCCTGAAACATGTGCTACTGTCTCAGCTAATCTTATGGTTAGGGTACTTTTCGTGTACAGAATAACCCCGCCTCCCCTACGGTTTAATCTATCAGTCCTACTGATTATGAAACCAGTCAACTGAATTTCACTGTCTAATACTTCTGACGTTAACCAAGTTTCCGAGACAGTAATAAAGTCCGGTTTTTCTTTATCCACCACTGACTTGAGCTCTGCCATTTTATTTAGTAGGCTGCGAGCATTTGTGTAGCATACCTTTAAGTCTGTGGAGAGCTTTCCCTTGTCACCCAGAGTGGCTTGGGGATCGTTTTGCTCCTAACTTTTACAATTTGAAAACCCTTAAGAACGAGGTTTCTTTCACCGTTTTGGCGACGCTCATTTATTTCCGCTTCTGCAGCTCGTCTCTCAATACGATCAGCTAGGCTGAGATCCTCACGGACATATATTCCGGATCCAGTCAGTTTACGTGAATTACTTATAATCAGGTTCCTTTCTTCCACCGTGTTGAATGTAACCGTTAGGAGGCAGTTTTTCTGAGGACTTTCGGAATCCACCTTTTTTTTCTATTCTATAAAGCTTATAAATACTCCTGAAACTGTATCTGGGAGTAGTTTACTTAATGATGTCTTAATATGATTGAGGTCGTGTTCAAATCTTGACTTTGGTTCTGTATCTGAAGATTCTCTTATCTTATGAAAAATGACTGACCTCTCAGAGAGATCTGTCCTGTCACGCAGTGAGGATTTTTGGTCAATTAAAACTTGTCGTTAAAGCTCTTGAACTCTGGGTAGGTTTTGTTTATGTTTTCTAGAAACAGTACTCTTAGTAAGTCAAAATAAATCAACAAATCTCGAAAGCCATTTGAAATCGAATATGTTCTGATTAGATACTTTAGAAGTAGCGTGCAACTTGCCTTTCCATCACAGCCCACACACAAATGATGAACTCTCTATGTCTATGGAAACTACTTTTCTCACTTCGAAAAACAATCAATTGATTCAAATTATCATTACAATTATTGTCATTATTAATACTATTATTATTACTATTATTGTCATAATAATAATAATAATAATTATTATTATTATTTTCCACATTATTCACCCTCTTTTATGCTTATACAGCGGCTCGTCTTTGGTGGAAATTCGACTGTATCTAAACGTTCTCGAGTCACTGTCCGGTTGAAAATTGCATGTTACCACCGAATATGAGTACTGAGGCAGTTTTTCTGAAACCACGTGCGCCATTCAAACTGGCTGTCTTCAACGTTCGCACACTTATGCAGGTTGGTCAACAGATAGGGCTGGCTATGTCTTTGGAAAGTCTTAATATCGATGTCTGCTGTCTATTCGAGACCCGTATTCAAAACTCTGGTGAAGTACTACAAATTCGCTCTACGTCTGTCACTTCAAAAAGCTTGTTTTACGTGCGCTTATCCGGGGACCCTGTGGCATCTTCGTCTGGCCTTGCTGGCGTTGGTGTCGCACTAGGCGCTAGAGCTGAGGCAGCACTAATCGATTGGATCCCCATTAACAGTCGGTTATGTGCTGTTAGATTAGAAAGTTCCATCAAAGCGAGAAGAAATCGGCGTGAGAAACGATGTCTTTTCGTCATCTCCGCTTATGCTCCGACAGATTGCAGCCCGGATGCAATCGAGGATAAGTTTTACCACCAGTTATCTGTTCTTCTCCAGAAAGTGCGCTCGACAGATATTGTAGTACTAGCCGGAGACTTGAATACTCAGGTCGGGCATCTAGGCACAGAAGAGAGTCGTTTAGGTGGCCGATGGGGACTCGTTGGTCGCAGGTCAGATAACGGGGACCGTCTACTGCAACTTTGCACAGACCACAACCTGTTTCTGGCTAGCACTAACTTTCGGCACAGTCCTCGCCGATGTGCCACCTGGCGTCCTCCCTCTGCATCCCAAGCCTGGACTCAGATTGATCACATCGCGATCAGCTACCGCTGGCGTGGTTGTGTAAATGACTGCCGCTCCTTTTGGAGTACCTATCTGGACTCTGACCATGCCTTGGTCTGCGTCAATCTTGCCTTACTTTTCAGTGGCCAACGAAGTGACCGCCATCAACGGATTGATATTAGCAAGCTGGTTGCAACTTCTGTTGCAAGTAAGTATCGAACCGAGCTAGCCTCTAGGCTAGCTACCACTCCACCGAAGAGTACAGATAAGCATTGGTTGCAATACAATGACGCCATGAAAATGGCGGGTACAGTCAGTTGTGGGTTCGTGAAACGTCCCGCTTATAAGCACTGGGTTTCTTCTGGTTCCTTGCAACTCATTGAAGCCCGTCGGTCTACTCTGGGTGACCGTGAGTTTGACCATAAACGAAGGATGTTACGTAAGGAAACTGGGCAAAGCTTGCGTAAGGACCGAGAAGCCTGGTGGTCGAAGCGTGCTAATGAGATGGAAGCAGCAGCTGCATCTGGTAACTACCGGGAGCTCTTCCAACTCACCCGAGCCACTGGCAGCAAGAAGTCTGGTGTGAGTGAAAAAATCTGCGAGGATGATGGGATGCCAATCACTAACATCCATCGACGTCTTGGACGATGGGCAGAATTTTTCGAAGGGAAGTTCAACTGGCCTGCTGCTCCGGCAACATCAGTCAGACTGTCCTGCCCTCCATGGCCGGTGACGACTGATCCACCAAACGAGGAGGAAGTCCGCAAGCAACTCCAACTCTTGAAGCGTTACAAATCACCTGACCCAGATGACTTACCTCCGGCTCTTTTTAAAGATGGTGGTGACTTTTTGACTAAGGAATTGACGACGTTGTTTACAAAGGTTTGGGAATTAGAGAGTGTACCAACGTCATGGAATGAGTCGATAGTTGTCCCTATCTTTAAAAAGGGTTCACGTCGTTCCTGTAACAACTATCGGGGGATAAGTCTACTTCCGATTGCGTCCAAGCTATTGGCTTCCATCATACTTCGTAGGTTGTTCAAAACCCGAGAAAGATTGACTCGCGTGGAGCAGGTTGGGTTTCGTTCTGGTCGAGGATGTATTGATCATATCTTCACCCTCCGCCAAATGTTATAACACCTCCATACTTATCAAAGGCCAACAATCGTAGTGTTTCTTGACATCAGGGCTGCCTTCGATTCGTTGAACAGGACTGTTTTCTGGGATTGTCTATTGAAGAAGGGTGTACCTGAGAAGTTTATTAACATCCTAAAAGCCCTATATAAAAACACCTCAGGCAGAGTGAGGGCATACAATCACCTCTTTCCATTGTTCCATTCGAGCAGTGGGGTTAGACAGGGTTGCCCAATCTCACCATTCCTCTTCAACTTTGCCATCGATGACATTCTGGAAACAGCTCTGATGAATGTAAGTAATGGTGGTGTGGATCTGTTGCCTAGAGAAAGACTTCTCGGCCTTGATTATGCGGACGATATTGTCTTACTGTGCGTCAATACCCAAGGCATGCAATCCGCACTTAATCAGTTGGCAATCAGTGTCCGTAGGTATGGTATGTGCTTTGCACCTTCGAAGTGCAAAGTACTTCTACGAGACTGGCACGATTCCAACCTTGTACTCACCCTGGATGGTGAGCAGATAGAAGTAGTCGAGAAGTTCGTGTATCTGGGTAGCTGCATAAGTGCCGGTGGTGGTGTGAGTGATGAGATCAATGCACGTATAGTGAAAGCCAGAGCGGCTTATGCCAATCTGCGCCACCTATGGCACCTTCGTGATGTTAGTCTGGCTGTAAAAGGTCGGATCTACAACGCGTCGGTAAGAGCAGTTTTGCTCTATGGTTGTGAAACCTGGCCTCCGAGTTGAGGACGTTAGACGACTCTCTGTGTTCGATCATCGCTGTCTCCGAAGGATTGCTGATATTCAGTGGCAACACCATGTCAGTAATGCAGAGGTTCGGCATCGTGTGTTCGGGCACAGAGATGATAATTCAATTGGTGTCACCATCTTGAAACACCGACTTCGGTGGCTTGGACATGTTCTCCGAATGCCGTCCCAGAGAATTCCACATCGTGCATTATTTGCCGACTCTGGGACTGGTTGGAAAAAGCGGAGAGGTGGTCAGTATATGACATGGTGTCATGGGATGAAAAAAAGCTGCAAAGGACTGGCTTCTGTTGGTCCTTCACGACTCTCTGGTTGGGTTCTGAGAGATGGTGCTACACAGTGGCTAGAGACGTTATCAGATATGGCTCAGAATAGAAGCCAGTGGCGATCCTGCTGTAAACTTCTTTTACTTTCATAAAAAGTGGTTGTGTCTCCCTTACCTGAAAGATTTTTCCGATTGCAACTTTCCGTTACCTCATTAATACCACACTACCTTACACCAATCTCTTCGTTATTGTTCTCTTTTTTTTTCGAGCTCCTTACCTTTTTTTTCTATTTCTCTTCGAATTCTCATTGTTTTGTGTGGCGCATATATATTGGCGCTCTCTTGTACCAATATTCATGTGTTCAAATAAAATAAAATAAAATACTTTCCATTAAATTACTTATTCAAAAGCATTTTCCTATTCCACAATTTTCTTGTCTTGATTCTGACGGATTCAAATTATGACTAATCTTTGAACTTAGAAGTGACGTTAGCAATACCTAGGTCTTAGTTATTGGTAAATTATTCCATTCTTAGGTATGTATAGGAGTCCTCGATTGTGCAAACTGGTTTTCAAATTTACTGTCTGTCATGTAGTGATGGGGCCTTATAACGAACGTTTCATTTCGCCAGTTCCAACTTATCTCTCTTTAGTCGTGGTAATATGGTGCAGATCCATAGTATGTCAACTTGCTTAATTCTTTCTGGTTAGCGTTTTTTTAGCGAGTTAGTTTTCTACGGGATGGGGACGCTAACCCCATGCCCAACCCTCCTCCTTTATCCGGGCTTGGGACCGGCAGTAGCTCCCGGAAGGACTCCAGGCCTGATTATTTAGACATGTTGAATCTCGTATAAAGTTAAGGATTTTGATGTTTGTTCTCAGTATTTAGTCTTTGTCATATTTGAGTCAAAAAGATCCAATCAGTCAACATTATTGACGAACAGCGCGTTTGTAATATAAATAATGACATTTGTAAAATTTCAATCAGTAAAACATTGTATTTGTGACGTCCACCAACCTAATTGGTTCTTCAGAAAATAAATCAAATTAAACTGACTCAAGTCCAAATAGAACAAAGTAAACAAGGCAGAGTATTTGTATTACAATCAAAGTTAAGATTTATCCAACCATGTTACGGTTATGTAGTTTCAGGCACGGTAATTCTTCGTGAGAATTACCTGTATGCACATTAATTAGCGGGGAAAATGTGAAACTTGTTATGTGGAAGTATGCTCAATTTTTAACTGCTCATTTTCAGCAATTTCTTCATGAAAAGTAAGCTTAATAATTTATTTTCGTGAATAAGTCATTGCAAGCTGCTCTATAATTCTAGGGATTTATCATATCTGGAGTTGTAACGCTCATAGTTTTCAGTTGACATTAACTATACATGCACATACAATTTTTATTTCTACATTCCAAGAACTGTTTGTCTAAAAATTATTCAAACTCTTAAATCTTAGTACTATAGTATTTATCTTGGTCAAAAATAAATGTCAAGTTGTGAAGATATTAAATGTTGAGTTGAGCCGCGTAGGGATATTAAGATGTCTTTGCGAATCAGCTACTATTATTGCTTAATATTCTCCGGACACTTTACTTCACTAGACAAGTTCAAATCAGAACACGGTTGAATAGGAACGAGATTATATTCCACATAACGAAGTTAAGTATGAGTGACAGTCATACTGTGAAAACGTTTAGTAAATTTATAGTTTATATACCTTGTAATTCTGGTCGGCTAAAAACAGGTCAATCAGCGAATCGTAACATCGTTCTGCTTGGAACATGCATTAATCCAAACTACAGTCTCCGGACGGGGAATGTATGGATTCCTTAGTTATTTTTGGAAGCATAAATATTATCAATAGTGCGAAATGTAAATTAATGTAGGTGGCTAAGATATACGGGTTATCCTTTGGTTAATTTTGAACTTTATGGCTATCCATGCTTTCCCCTTATTTCTTCTGAACTACTATTCTTATTTTTAGTTTTCATTTGCCGTTAGTGTCATTTTTATTGTTTGCACCTTTTTCGCAATCTGTTAGTTTCTTCTCACTCCACTGATATGTGATAGCTCTAATTGATAAACATTTGCATCAGTTCATGCATCTATGCTTGCCCATCTGTTCGTTGATCTTCAACAATTGTGTAACAACTTGAACGGTCTCACATTTGTGTTTGAAGACGGAGTTACTTCTCAGCAATATTCGTTATTCAGAATTAACGTTAATATTTGTACTATTTTCGCCGTTTGGTTTTTCACTAACCACCTTCATAATTTGTTTTTCAGGACGTCATATTAGTTACCGGTAGTTCTTTATCTATCACCAATGTATTGTTTCTTTTTTCTTGTTCCAGATTCCTTGATATTCAAACTTATCATATTAAAGTGTTGTTCAAGATTCCCTGAGACAAGAATATTCCAACTATCCTATTTAGTTAATTTATTCGATTGTAATTAAGTAAAACTATGGGTTGTGCTTAAAGTTTGTTGATTGTAATTGCCCTTTACAATAAATTAATTTCTTTGTATGAATTAGCCAATTAAGATTATTTTTTATATAAAACTATCATCCTTTTGTTTGTAAGACAAGAGACTTTCGTTTGCTTAAAAAGTACCTTAGTTACTGTCGATTAGCTGAACTTAGTCCTCAGTTCCGCCTATATCAACTGTCAGCAGAAGTTAGACGAACTATGTTTGTGTCGCGGTTAGCACTTGTATCAAAGGGAGTGCCCAAAATTATTCGTCTATGTGGCAAGAAATTTGCGTACAAAATAAATACAAAAGAACAACAATGTTATAAAACATTATTTTCCGAAACCTGGGAATCAGTTTCTCATCAGCTTTTTCCAAATGCAGAATCCTCAACAGTTTTAGAAGACAGAAATGTAGATGATCTTCCTGTTCAGAGTTCCAAGAGTAAAACTACGAACTTTACAAGGACCCTTGATCCAGAGGATTTGAACAAAATTTATTCTGACGAAGATCCATCATTGCCACCTTTGTCTATTACATGCTCAGGATGCGGATCACCGTTACATAGTAAAGCTGCAGGATATCCAGGCTTCATACCCTCGACCGAATATAAGAGCATTATGTCCAGTACGGCGCGATCACTTTCTCGTTCTAAATACCGAAAACCTGTTCTCACTCTTTGTGTACGTTGTAATCTACTTCATAAACACACTGAAGCGTCGAAAGTATATACTTTTACATTATTAATCCTAAATAGAATTTAGGAAACAATAAATGAGTCGTATTTTCTGACTAAAGTAACCCAGGAAATACAAAAATGCGAAGATGCGGTTGTAATCATTATTGCCGATGTGGTAAACCTTCCACATTCTTTGATTCCGGAATTACATACAGAATTAAAGGGAAAAAGGTTAGTTCTAGCTAATTATTGTTTTCAATTCTAGGTATGTGCTCGTTGGTAACAAGGCTGACCAGTTACCAGGTGATGGACCGCATTTCATAGAGAGGTGGTGTTCAGCGTTGTTGGAAGCGGCGATTTCGAGGAGCAAAATACCAGAAGAGAATATTAATCACATCTCCATCATTAGTGCATTGACTGGTTATGGTATACCAGAACTAATCGACTTCCTGTTATCTAAACGTTTTCATTGTAAAAGTGAGCAGTATTTACGACTTACTTTTATTATTATTAATATTAGTGATATTTGTTGATAGGTCTTTGATAATTGTGCCTATCTACTGCATTCAGAGTAAACATTAAACCTATCTCCACTAAATATTTAAACAGTATCTGAGTAATCCTTAGATACACTAATCCTTTACATTGAATACAGTTTTTGTCATAACTTCTATGACAGTATACCCTAGAAACAATACTTCATTCAACTAGTCCCAAACCAGTATACGGATTACAGTCGGGTGAAAATATACACCAAATGGCGAAACATAATATGGTAAAACGTGGAGATTTGTATAAAATTTATGCGTAAGTTTTTTAGTATTTTCTCAACCCATCCACTAGCGCTTATTTGTTGAAGATGAACCAATCTACGTGCTTTAACCTGATATTCACTAAAGCGTAGGTGTTTTTTAATGAATCTATCAGATGATATTTTTGATCTTTAAAATCAGTGAATATAATGCTAATCGACAAATGAACGCATTGGTATATTGTGATCGAGTGATGGCTACTCACGAGACCATATAATTGACTTAAACCCTTGAAAAATTAGGAACTAAAGAGAAGGTCATTAGCCGGATAAGTAGCTTTTCATGCGACGAAATAAACCTGGCTGTATACGGAATATGAACACAAAATAAACCTGATAAAATGTGACAGGTGTTCGAATGAAATAAGTTTATGGGCCAGGCATTCTTTAATATATATATATATGTTAATTTGTTCTCATAATCCTATTTCCACCTTTTTTGCAAATTTACCAATTAATTAGTTCAGATAAAGCATATTTTTTTATATTCTTTTCTTCATAAGGTCCAATATATTTGATAGGTTCTACAAATGTCGGGAAGTCTAGTTTATTCAATCGTTTATTATTGTCAGATTTATGTAAATCAGAAGCCAAAGAATCTATTCATCGAGCTACAATATCTTCGTGGCCAGGTAATTAATTTTTTACCCTATGTTCATATAAAATATGTTTCATATTTCTCATTATGTAACAACAGTTTTTCAATGGATTTCTTGCGTTATATATGTCCAAAAAGTATATTAATTTACTAATGTGCGATTAGTTTTCTGTTTGAATTTTATCAAAGTGGATTGTCCTTATCGCAATTAGATATTAATCGCTAAAATAATACATATTTCAGAGTAACTTACTAGCTGTTTTGTACTATTCTATAATTCAACAGTAGTGAATATCTCTTTTTGCCGAGATTAAACTTGATTTTTCTTAAAACTTTGTGATGAGATTTCAGTTTGTTGCATCCGATTCTAATACTTTATAAAAAGTAACTGGCTTAGATCGATTCATATGTTTAACTATTAAAATTACTACAATCTCCACAAATCCTCATTCTAATAATAATAATAATAATAATAATAATAATAATAATAATAATAATAATAATAATAATAATAATAATAATAATAATAGTAGTAGTAGTAGTAGTAGTAGTAGTAGTAATAATAATAATAATAATAAATGTTCTCATTAGTGACTAGCTTCAAAATGTAACCCCTGGAATTCTAGTAAGAATTCGTGACCAGTGAAGTCCGATCCGTGTCGGTTGTGAAACATTTGTCCACCTCAGGCAGTGGACGAAGAGCTGCGCAATATCATGGATTGATAGTAATTAGATATTAACACCGTTAGATCCCAGTTCAGCGGTTTGGAGATTAAGCGTCTATGCGCGAAGTCAAAGGTCCTGGGTTCGATTCCCGATTATGATATCGTGGATGTGCATAGCTTAGTCCCATTCTAGGAAGAAACAGTCACCTAGTTTTTCCAGATTTTAAATTGTGGTCTAGCTTAGATTGACTCATGATTTCAACTATGAAAATAAGAAAATTGTTTAATTCTGAAGTGCTTAAATGATTATTATTTAAAAACCAAAAAAAGTACACGAGGAAAATTATGTAATTGAGAAGTAAATAGGAGTAAAAGAATGAACAAGCGTACAAGGAAGGAGAACAAATAGGAAGAATACATTAAAATAAAGATTATGATGAAGAGGTTGAATAAATAGCTTTTGTTGATCTATTTTTGGTAGAAACTTGAGAAAACTCGTTAATCATTGAGTATTAGAAACAAAGATGGATGGTGACTAGCAGTGGAATCCACAACGCGCGTGGCTTCCTTTTTGAGACTCGTCAGCTAAATGTACATGCATCCCAGAGTTGATGTTTACTCCGAGACTCAAACCCAGTACCACTTACTTCATATCCCATCACAGTCCCGGTGTGACTATCAACTCCGATATACAGGTACATCCAGCTGACGAGTCCCAAATAGAACGATACGCACGTTCTGAACTCCACTGCTAGCCACCATCCAACTCTGTTAATAATGGATGTGAGTCAATAGCTACGTCGAGTCAGTTCACACAGGATCCACATATGCCAAAAGAGACTGGTCAATTTCAGTCCTAAATATCAATGGGGAAATCCAAACAGCCAATACAAATAAATTACTAAAATCTTTGTTAGACATAACCGATGAATTTAAACTTTTCAATTTACTTCAGAAACTTTAAAAATTGTGATAAAGTTGTGTGATTAGAAATAACCAAATACCAACTTAATGATGTGAGTGTTTACCCTTCTTCGCGAAGTCCGAAGGTCCTAGGTTCAATAATGAGATTGTGAATACGCACTGCTTAGAAGTCTCATACTGGGATGGAACGGCTGTTAAGAGTTTGTTTGTTTTTAATTTTTATTGAACTGAGATCAGTCCGTGATGTAATACTAGTCGACAATCTCCACAACTTCTTATACTAACAAATGTAGACATTCAACATAAGGTAGGCTTTATCTATCGTTTTGTCATGATGGGAGAGCATGTCAACCAGGCTCTTATACATTGGAAAATGAGCGACATACAAAACCGATTTTATCCAATTATTTATAACATCTAATCTTATTATTTCTATACTCAAGGGTTGTCTTTTATTATAAGATCAACTTATTCTTGTGGTTATTGGTCTTGTCTTTGGTTTCAAATCATTTGGGGTCCTTAAGTCAATAATCTGGTCCCGTAAGCAGTTAGTCATCACTAGACGGCCACTTCGTATCATCACCTTACATATGTCGACTAACATTGGATTCATTAACCAATTCATTAATCAATCCGAAAACCTATTAGCTTGTCAAATTCTACTCCATGACAGATTTACACCAATTGTTACGAGATTATAATACACTGATTATATTTTCTTAAAATAACTACTATTCCCCTGAGATCACGTGATTTCATTTCCATAAATTGTGTAGATTATCGGCAAAACTTCATACAAAATCAACATCAGAGGGAACAGAATATTATGTTTTAATTTAACTCGTGAACAATTCTTGTCAACTTTAGTAATCATTGGGTATAAGGTTAGTTATAATAAAAAAATTATGGTTTGATAAAGTATTTGAAAGTTATGAAAGACCTTCGTGATTGAAATTTGATGCCAAGGCAGAAAATTGTGTGGGATTTATGACATTTATCTGTCAACTAACTAAATAAATATGCATAGAATTAACTTTATTTTACGTTGGTTAAAATGAATCACGCCTACATAAATTACCTGGAATTATTTTCTCTTAAAATCGATTATAAAAGAAATTTGACCGTGACCAGTACAGTTTCACTTCAACGTTAAAGAATTTAAGAAATATCAAATGATTTTATCTTAATCAAAATGATCTTGCTTTGTTTCTTTACCAAATGACTATTCGAATGTGACTTCTTCAAATAGGGATCCATATAGAAGAAACCATAAAAAAACTGGGAATTATAGGCCATTCGTTTTGTTGTGATATTGAACCACTCAGCAGCGCAAATGTACGACCCCAGATGAGATGGAACGTAGGTCTTGTAGCAAAAAAATACAATAAACCCAATGATTCACAGTCTAATGGACCTTATTTTTAACTCCACCCGGTTTGCAATACAGCACAGAAGTTGTAAACTAAGACGAAATAGCCGTTTTATGTGTTTTTTGGTTTTTAGTGGTTTTCTAATGATAAATCGTGATGTAAACCTTTAACAAATTATTCACGAACCCATATCACAACATAGAACTTGGCACATGTGTGCGCTAGTCCAAGTTATCAACTCTCCGTTGGCGCAGCGACATGAAATTTTCAGGGCAAATCCCAAACTAGTAGAGTTAGTCACAGTATTAGTAGTAACAAAAAAGATTAGGCATCAAAAATAGGGTTCAAGAAGAAAATATGTATCGGTAGAATAAAAAAAGTTTTATCAAGTAATTTACAAATTCAGGATCTAAGGGAAAACAAAGAGTGAATGTGCCTGGGTCATTGTGTAAGATTTTGAGCTGTATTATCCAGTCTCTAACTCCTGGTTATGATAATCACACGAACCCCAGGCTTCTGATGTTCATCACTCACCTTATGTTGTAAAATTTTGTCTCAATTCGAATTCACACATTTCTAGCCTCCAAGTTGAACCAGTTAACCTATCTTGTTAAGGCCTTAATCTAGATCGAAAAAAGTTCTCTCCTATATGTTATTAGGTAGAGAGATTAAGGGCAATACTTGAATTAAAATATCTCATTGTACTTCAATGGGTTAAATTTGCACTTTTGTCATAACCAAAAAGTCATGTAAAACACTATGTAGGATTCAAATTAGTGGACTCATAGATGTTATTTATTTTCCTGTATATGTGCACCTCAGTCCATTACAAATTAGTCTATGCATAAGAGTGAGATAAATACTAATATTTTAAAGTTCAAAGCTGTCTTATAATTCAGTGGAAAACTCCCATAATTTTTTTTTGTGGAAAAATATTTATCATCCATATTGTCCATGGCTAGATGCAATTGTTTCCTGAACTGAAACTTCCCGATAACAAAATATTTTACTATCAGTTTGAATATTGTCAGTGAAGTGTTAAACAAATTAAATAACAAGTTTATTTAGAACAACTATTATTTATAACCAGTAATCATACTGTGGTGCGTGCTACTTATATTGATATAAGTAGTATATCATGCGAGTCAGGAATGTAATGTCCGGCAGCAGAAGATGAGGGAAGATCAAGAAAGCAAGAGCGGGAATAGAATGCAATTTGTATGAAAAGGTAAGGACATTGAAGTCTGAGGCATTTTGGAACAATTGGTGGATATTTTGCAAATTAACGATTTGATATATTGTTCTCAGATTTTATTGAGATGCTCTGTAATTTTGTGTTAAATACAGTCGATTGTCCCCACCCGTGTTCTGTTCACCACAATACTTTTATTAAAATTCAGTCAAGTAACCATATACATGTTGTGTATTCGAGTTTGAGTATGTTTTTATTTCTATAAATGTTTCCAAACCAATGTCATTGAACTGTGGTTCGAACTAACATAAAACAATCAAACCTTGATTTAATCCGACCCTTCTAATTCGCGTTATGTGGTCATGATTGGTCTTTACATAAATTATTGGAATTATTGCGATTGTCCATATTGCCTACATACATCAATACTCTTTCTTTCAGTTAACCTCAACAAAGGTCATCATTATTAATTCAGATGTCAGCTTTATTGACTCATGTCATGTTTACAGTTAACAACTGGTATACCAATTCCAGTCAACATAGTTCAAAACAACTTAGAAATAATAAGTGGAAATAAAATACTCACGGTCAAGATGTAGCAGAAATATGTGTTATCATGGTTAATTTTGACTGTGTTCACATCTAATTTGTATTTCTATCCTGATTATTGATTATTTATCCGTTATCGGGGGTTAGTAAATACCTCATTGATAACTATTATTCAGTACATAACTTTCTTATAATAGTCTATGCTTGCACTATAATTCTACTATTCAGGTACTACAATGGGCCTTTTAAGTTTTCCATTAACCTTAATGAATTCAGCTAAACGTGGTCAGCGTATACAATCACGTTATGAACAATCATATCAAAAGACTATACAAAATAAAGAATGCAGTTCATCACATGGTTTCCGATATTTGAAACGTAAGTTTGTTTATAGACAAATATACTATATATTCTAATATAATTGCAATATTATATGTATTGAGGATGTTTAAGAGCAATCGTTGATTTTTTTTCCTCGGATAATAATATTTTCCTTATTATTCGGTTTTTAATAATATAATTCTTCATCTTCACCATAATTTAAAATACAAGTTACGCTGTTTTTGTAAAAAATATTCTGTTCTCAAATCTAATTAGTTAGTATCATTTTAGGTGAATGCTTCAAAATTTAGTCAAAAGCTAACTGATATTTGTAATGATAAAATTAGTGTTTAGTGAATGAATTTACGGCAAACCTTTAAATGTAGAGCGGTGATTGAATAGTTAGAATATTTAGCTTTCAACCAATAGGCTGTACGTTCGAACTACACTCCATCTACTTTGGTTTTGGCGGTTAAAATTATCATTGGTCTTCATATAAACGATATATTGTTCAAATCTCCGAACATAAACCTTCACTTAGCCATTGGCTTATGCCTAAGCCTTTGAGCTACATTCTCCACCTCGTTTCACTTCAAAGTCCATAAGACAAATAAACGTTCTGAACTCATTTATTGTTCCGTTTGTATGTTCGTTAGACAGACAATTTATTCAAAAATCAATGCACAAAAGTGCTGATCGTGTACCTTCTTTATTTTTTTTCTAGCAAAAGAAATTGTCTCTGGTATTTGTGACAAACGGTCGGCGAACTATTATGCAGCAAAAAAGGCTCGTGAAACGCTGCCGGATTTGTCTACTATGCCAACATACACATGGAAACCTAATGAAAATTCAAATTCCAACAAATCTGGGATTTGTGTTGGTAGTGAGTTTGGATTAGAACAGTTGGCTTCTGAGTTATTTCCTGGAGATATTTTCATTGACAAAGCTTCTTGGGATGGAGATCAAAGTACTCGATTACTAACAAATATATTGAATCCAAGATATTTTAATGATCATGCATGGTGTTATGATACTCCAGGTGTTTTTTGTAAAGACCAGGTAATTATTATTTTTATAAACATTTCGATTTGATATAACAAGTTTAAATATTAGTCACTAGATGATTAGATATACATATTAAAATGTGTAGATTTACTATAGGATTGGCCCAATCTGAACTTAGAAAACAACTTTTGAAGTCTTGCGCGAAGGTAGATGATTTTTACGCTATATTCTATGAAAAGCCTTTGAATAATTGATAAGAAAAAACTTTTTTTACTGTCATACATGAGAAATGACAATGTAAGAAAAAAAAGCACAAAAAATACATACTTTTGACGATCCAACTCTCCAGGAAACTACTTTATAAGTGAGTTCACTGAACTACAACGAGCTGGCAGCTTGGTATTGCTAAAATTTATCATTATTTCCACTCAAATATTGGTATCTGATATCTCCATCTTACTTACTCTAGAGAATTTATTCATTCAAGGTTTTGTGGACGATGTGGAATTCCATCTAAATTTATTTCCAAAAAGAAGCTATTCGCACTCAAATAAGTAAGATTCTACGATGGTTTTTCTCTTAAATATATGATTAGAAAACTGATAATAGACCTTGAAAATCTAGCAAGTCTTCCAATACCGCTGTACTCTTACAGGTTTAAATACTTCTCTGAGGGGAGTTTCGATTTATACAGATCCTCTCTATATTGATTGAAAAGTGGCTTCAAAATCACACGATCATTGTTAACGTTACTACCGAACCAACCCTATGGTATATTGTCACCGTTACTATTATTTATTATTTTATTTATTTTAACACAGATATTGGTACAAGGATGCACCAAATACATGTGCGCCACACAAAACTCATTCGATATGTGTGAAGGCTGTGGTACTGCCCGGCTGCCCAAACCGAAGCAGGTGGTTTTCTTAGGGGGCCAATCCCCGAGCCTTCGACCTGAAGGTCTGATCCACAAGGCAGTGGAGCATCGTGAGGAGATGCAGTCCCATGGAAGCCGGTGACCAACTATTGGTTCATACGCCGTTTGTTCCTTTAGGACACTGGAGCCCATATGCACCATTGATTTGGAATCCGGTTAATGCGCCGGACATCCGCTTTTCGTCCTCTCATTTTCGTAAACAACACCCCCGCCGCGAGAAGGCAGTGAGTAGGACTTCCCTGGCAGAGGCTACATACGCGTGGCCATGTGAGAGCATTTCGAGAGGGAGAGCGGACTCTCCCCACGCTCGACCGTACTAGAGAATTTGGGGGCCACCGTTACTATAATCTCTTTTTACCCTATGCTGACCAGCACAGGGATTGGTTGGTGTTAGTGAAACATAGATTGAATTAAAGCATGCTTCGTGCGCGATTGTGTTGGTGTACACTGATTGGCTATTTCTTATTCAATCAGTGCTAGTTTATAAACATGCTAACGTTTCTCTTATTGTGCTTCTTACTTCCATCTACCCTTGTTATTTGAGATGTAATTTCTTTCCTGTTAAACTGTGTTCTGATTTTGGGACTTGTCGAGTGAATCGGTGTCCAAGAATACTAAGCAATAGGAATAGCTGGGTCGTAAAAAGAGAAAATTATAACAGTTGGGAAAGGACTATGTAAAGCAAAACCAAGACGTGAAATCAGTGCATACAGTTTTTGACTGATAGTATTTACTAGCTAGAGGGGTTAACATGACAGACACATGGTTGGAAAATTTAAGTAATGCAGTTCAAAATCAGTCGCAGTAACACAGGAATATTCATTCTTTCAGTATTCTTTGAATTTCGAACCAAGTAATATTTCATACTTATGTACTATTTTGCTAAGTCGGACACTTGTTAAGTATGATAACGAAATGAAAGTTTTATATATCATATCAATGTAATTAATATTTAACTACCACATACATGACCTGAAAACAAATTTCTATCGGACAATTTAGTTGTGTCATTGTGGATGTGTCAAGCGTTATTGTTTGTTTTTTACGTCTCGTTCTTTTAAATAAGTAACCCAGTTTATTCTCTTTATCATTTACCTAACATATACAAGCACATTTTGACTTGTAATTGAGTTATAGAGGAAAAAAAATAGATAAACAAATGTAATTATAAAATGTACCATTGATAATTAGTAAAATTATTAGTTCACAACAATTAAGGAAAATTATTTTGCACCAAAAATTTAATTACCTGAAACTCTTAGTTCACCATTAATTTATCTTTGACTTGAGCTCTATAGTTTGCAAACATTTGCTTTTGTGTTAATTCAAAGACTTTTAATTTGATAGTAATCTCTAATACGCGCAGAAATAATTTAAAGAAAAAAAATATATTAAAATTGTTCAGTTATGAGTTATTTTCTTTCTCACAAAGTCTAAAGGGAAATAAATCTCGTTCCACTATTTACCCCAAGCTTATCATTTCACTGAATTCGATCAGTCGCACTTGGTATACTGATTCCCTGATATTGAACGCAGTTAAAAGTTTGTTTTTGGAAAGTGACTTACAGCAAGATTTAGAATGGCAGGAATTTCGTCCTATGTATGGGTTATTTTATTCATTAAACAAGCTATTGTGTATCTGGATTCAATAGCTTAATAGATAGTGAGTAACAGTTTGAAATTATTAGAAGTGGGTTAATGATCAACATTAAGGTGTAGATACATTCAACCTATGAATCCCTAGAAGGATAGAATGTGCATTAGGGCTTCCACTGTAAATTGCCTGACATATTGTTTGATTTTATGGTTCTGTTTTCACGCAAAATTAGGTATTGTATGTTTAGAAGATCTTTTTTATAACTTTCTTGTGTTGAACTATTCTAACTAACAGGCATAATAGTACTTTATTACACTAGTTGTCTTATTGTACTACTAAACGTATGTATAATTTTACACACAAATAAAAAGAAATTTTTATGTAACAAGTCACGTTTGTCTTGGACAAAGATTATTCTAAATGAATGTATCGTAATAATATTCTCTCCTTTTAATGTAAATCTCTAAGAGTTAATTGTAAACCAATAAATACATGAAGTTCTTGGTAAACTTCATTTTGTTATGTCTATTATAGCTAATATGTTTATAAGCTGATAAGCTGATTTCTGCTTATACTGGTTTAATAAACATATGCTTCATTTAAATAAAGTAAAAAGAACAAAATTTGTAGAATAATATGAATTTATTGTATTTCAAGGTTTCCTGGTCAGCTACAGACAGCCGAAATTTACATTAGTAGCATTACTATAAAACGTTTGTTATTTGATTACTACTGCCATAACTGGGACATTTGAATAATAGGACCGGATCAGTTGTAAACATAAGTTATTTTGATGTATTTGAATTTTGATATTCACAGGCGTATGGAAACGAATTCCTATTTGTCATAGACAATGGGGTTAAGATATTTACTTCCTTTTTTTCATCGGTTTAACGCAGTGTGGTAGAAACTTGATGGGAAATTCTGGAATTACTACTTGGGGTTCAGAATTACTAAATTGAGTAGTCTAATTCAGGCCCCGAAATGCCCTGGTACATTCGAGGGTGGGGCGAGTCCGCTCTCCCTTTCGAAATGCTCTCACATGGCCAGGCGTATACAGCCATTGACAAGGAAGTCCTACTCACTGCATTCTTGCAGTGGGATGTTGTTTGCGAAATTGAGAGGACGAAAAACGAATGTCTGGCGCTTTAACTGGGTTAGTGGATTTGGAGGACCAACCTAAGGGAGTTGGAAAACCCTGATTCGAAACCAATAGTGCACTTGGGCTCCATGACCCTAAAGGAACAATTGACGTATGAACCTATTGTTGGTCACCGGCCACCATGGGATTGCCTTGTGGATCAAACTTTTGGGTCGAAGGCTCCGTATGTGGCCCCCTAGGAAAACCACCTGTTTCGGTCTGGGAACCCGAGCAGTATCAGCCCACACACAAGCCAAGTGACTTGTTTGGCGCATATGTATTCGGTGTCCCTTTGTACCAATATTTATGTATTCAAATAAATAAAACGAGATTTGAATACAAGACCTAATTATTAGCCCGAAATCAAGTGCTTTATTTAACGAATTAACTATCACTCTAAAGGCACTTAACTTGAGAACAAATCAATGTGGCGTTTATTCAACTAATTTTGATTTTTGAACTCTACTTTCAAAGTAGCCAATTATTCGAAATTTCATTTTACGTATCGTTGGACCTTTGGTGATGTTTATTCTTTTTTAAATAATAACTTGCCCGAAATATACGCCTAATCACATAACTTAATACCATTTTTATTTACGCATGTTGTTGATATTTTCTTATTATGTATGTTACATTTTCTCTAGATTCTTAACTATCTCTCATCAAACTTATTACATTCTATGACTAATTACAAATCAGAGGGAACTGGTATTTTCCACTTACCGAATGGTGTAAATAATAAAATTTTAATTCCTCGTACATTCGTCATGCGGCCAGGTTTGACACTTTTAATGGGATCACTTGGTCGTTTAGATGTTTTGAAAGTAAGTTCTTGTATTCTGTTATCATTTCTAAGTATGATATTTGACATTCAATATCATTTAATGAATACACAATTCACTAAACATTATTAATGTTAACAGAAGTACTTTTAACTCACTTTCTAAGTTTGAATGATACAATTTGTTCTACTAGATCTCATATAGAAAAAAGTCCAAATCTCTAAATTGATCACCATAAGTAACATTAATTATCTTGGTAAATACTTCTAATACTGAATATGCAACTCATATAGTTCATTTCAACTTCTTTGTCATGTTATCAATGATTAAAATATGCTTAACCAATAAGAAATAATGACAATTTTCCCGTTTTCTTTTTTTTTTTCACTAACAAACGATAAAATGTGATTGTCATAATTTGTATCACATTTTAAGTTCTTTTCGCTTATTTTGTTTATTTTTCTTTTAAGGCTCCAAGTTCTGTTTATTTTACCACTTTTTCTCATCTTCCAATCCATATTGTATCTACAAAAGAAGTTGATGAGTATAAAAGTCGATTTTTTAAATTTCTTATGCCCAAGAATAAAAATGATTCTGTAAATACTGATAATAATTATAATAATACAAGTGGACCTTGTGGTTTACTACCACCAATGAAATCGAAAAATCTTGATCCTATTGAAACTGTACCTAATTTAAATCAGTCCAACATAGATGTTGTTTTATCCGGAGCAGGTGAGTTATTTCTTATTCTCATGAATTTAAATTACATTGCACGTTAATTAGAAATAAATAGATTAAATGCCTATATATATATATATATATATATATATATATATGGTTGTATACTCTATTCAGTTCGGATTCATACGGCTATCGTAACTAATATTTGGTGGCTTTGAGTAATATCACTTAAAATCGTTTACAATTCCCTCAGAGGCATTTGCTCTTTGTCTTCCCGTGGCTTTTTAATTTTAAAATGATCTTATACTCTATTCCACCGGTTCATTCATTTATTTCTTCGTTAGGCACATTTTAACTAATGAAAACAATCTTCATAAGGAAGATAACATTGGTTACTGATGTTAAAATAAATAAGAATCACTTTTTTGTCTAACCTGAATTACGTATTCATACAAATATTTATGTTAAACAAATTGTGTATTTGTCTTTTCTGATCTACTATTTATTCATTAAAACAATATTATCAATTGACTTAAATATGAACATCTGGTTACCAGTGATCGTTCAGGTCATTGTATAATCCTCATTTCAACAGAAATATTGTCAACATGGAATGTTGTTACTGTGATCGATTCGTTAAGAAGTTCACTCATTTGTTACGTTTTATTCGTTTCTTACTTATTCTTCCTCAATGACACATCTATTAAATCGCAAATAAAGGAACAGTTTTTCTTTATTTTTGGGTTGCAAACGAATTAAGATGAATAGAATAAAAGCATAGGGATGAAATTGTCGAAAGGTTAAGGAGAGAAAAAAAGGGGGCAGGAATGTAGTTAAAAATAAATAAATGGATAAAAATAAGTGGACAAGAATAGTATGTTATTTGAAATACAGTTCTGTTAAAGATATAATCAAGAGAGACTTTTTTCAGCTAGTCGAGTTCTCGCTTTCATGAAAAATGTAGGAGGAAGCTACATCAGGACCTCCATTAGCTTCTGTTCTGAGCCATGTCTGATAGCCATTACGTTGCATCATCTCTTCGATCTCGGTAAGTGAGCCATAATTGATCAACCTATCCTAATTGTAAACAGCTTTCTTTCATACCACCTCAACTTTCTCCATCTCGCCCCCAGTGTCTGTAAAGAACGCAATCAGTAAAAGACGCCGGTATAACATTCTCAGAATATGACCAAGTCATTGAAGTTAGTGTTTCAAGACGGTAATGCCGGTTGTATTATCATCATTGCGCCTGAACACACTGTCAAATCCCAACACTAATAACATAGTATTGCCATTAAATTTCAGCAATCGTTTAGAAATAGTAATAATCGAACATGGAAAGTTTCTGAACGTCCTCAACTGGAAGAAACCAGGTTTCACAAATATAAAGTAAAACTCTTACTGACGAGTTGTAGGCATGACACTTAATATATTATTATTGCTTTATTTGTGATTGTTTTTCGTAAGGTTTCCAAAAATACATCTTCTGTACCTGGTTTCATTTGTTTAGTAACAATATCATAACTGAAATATGATGTGGTATTTTGTGTTATAAGTGGTTGATGTAAGTGTTCTAATTTCATTTCATAGTTATCAATGCCAAGGTTGGACTTGATAGTTTCCTTTGTACTATTTAAACTTGTGTTAATTTTATTTCGGTTATTTACTCTGAAGCAGTGGCTTATATTAAGTAACGAAACGTCAGAAGTACAATTTGTCTACTCATTGAAATATCACAAATGGTATATTTATTATTGATTTCATTTCAGTTTTAAAATGACTTGCTATATTGTTTTTATATTTTATTATAATCCTAGGATGGATCAGTGTAGCTGGTTTGTCAAAGACCAATAAGAAATTACTAGATGAGAAAAATTCAGAAGAAATATCTACTGAAAACAGTGTTGTTGATGATGATAACGATAATAATAATGATGATGAATTGTTTTGTGCTGATATCTTATTAGAAGCATGGACTCCTGGAGCTTTAGGTATTTCATTAAGAAAGCCTTTAATTCCATATGCAATTAAACGTCGTGGTCATCGTTTAAAATGGTTAAGAGAATTCTCAGGTATTCAATGATCTTTATGGTTGTGATTAGTTTTTCTGCTGAATCTGTAAAATAAATAAATAAACTTCTATCACTCAGAATTTAGTTTTTTTATTGTTTTAAGATTAGTAGGTATTTGGTTGGAGACATTTTTTTCTTTATTTGTAGGCGTTTCAGTAACTTGCTCAAAAGTTGTTCCCAGATTATCATCGACTCATTAATAGCTATTTGTGTTGTAGTATTCTAATTACTTTGGAATTTGTTGATTGGTTAAATGTCTCTTCATTTCCTAAATTCATTTCATTCTATCAAGTTTATGAAAGAAATGCGTGTATTTTATGTATTTGGCGAAACAAATGGCAGATCTGTCTAAAATGCGATCTGGATCAATACGTGAGGACTGGAAAAGATCATAGACACATATGAATGTAATATATTCAAATATATGGATAGAGTACGTAATCATGTACTTAACATTTATCCTTTAATTCAAATACCACAGTCTTCGAAACTGAATACCGTGTGATGTCTAACTAAAAATGATAAATAACATAGCATTTAATTAGAGGTATTACAATTGTAATACTACTAATAATAATGTATTTTCTAAAAACAATTACGGAATACATCTGAGTTTCCATTCACAATTACCGTAATGCCATAAGAAATTTACTGATATTTCATCATACATCTTGTACACACTTTAATAAATGAGAGATTGTAAATACGAGAAGTATTATAGTGGGGTATTTGTAGAATATAAGAAGATCACCAGGAAAGTCGTACGTGATGTTCATCAATGTTCAACAGTTTCTATAAACGTTTCCTATTTTGGCAAGTGTTGACTCATTTCAACAAATTGCTTTTATAGTAATGGTTGAATGTCTCTCTTCAGGAATCCTTCGGAAGTTTATGTAGAGGTGGAAATTTGATAGAAGCAACAAATGCATCAAACGATCGTTAAGTTAATTCATCTCATTTAAGTCACTGGTAACCAGAATACTGGTATGAATGTAGTATTCTGTAAGTTGGCTTGCGTTCCAGTGAACAACTAAACATGATTATTACAATGATAAGCAGAGTACTGTAAAGTATATTCTTTAACCCTAGAAATCTTTATTTTGTGTTCCATAGTCTTTTAATATCATATCTATTCATGAAATAAATGATGCTCAAACAGAAACTTCAAGTACACATCTCTTTTGCGGCATTGGGTTCGAATAACTATAAATTTTATGCATATACCCAGAAATAGTAACTATGAATGTTATGTCTTAATTGTCAAGATATCGTTTATATCGACATGTGATATTGATTAGACGAGAAGCTAAATGCACAAATCTGGGAGTGACAAAGTTGCAACGCAACACTAGTTTCTGTGTTCTTTTACTGTTGCTGTTACGTAGTGCAAAATACTTCCAGAGTAAACTACGCGAATTGATAGCAACCAGTAGTTTCGGATTTTTTATGTTACGTTTAAATTTCTATCACAATCGTGCAAATACATTCTTCTTTCTAAATCCTCAGTAGCTCACTCCTATTCTCATTTTCTTCAACTAATGTCGTTTGTCTTTTTTCGGATATGTGATTTTTTTCAATGTTGTTGCAATTTATAACACAATGAACTAATATCCCATAAATTTACTTTCTTTAGTACTATCAGATTTTGTCAACCTTTCTGATAAGTCTTGCTAATCGAATGCTATATTTGGTTCTTAAGCTAGAACTACACAGCGATCTGAACACTAGAGAAAAGGCGCAAAATATGCGAGAAGCACTTTACTCCAAAGGTTCGTTTTAGTACAGAAAATATAGGGTTTTTATAGCATTTTAGATGTGTTTGGGTTTCCCGAAAATTCTGAAATGCTACTAAACATAGTAGCAGTATAGTAATCAGCCAATCAGAAACTCTATATGTGATTTTTCACTTTCTTGATGTTTCTAGCTAACTTCTAGTGAACGTTGATTAGATAAGATGTTTCTTAGTGTTTCCTGAGCCTTTTTCTTTTCGTTTGCGGGACGTTTTCTAGACCACCCCAACACTTCCTACTTTCGATATTTTCTGTACACAATTCCACATAATTGATTAACTGATGTTCAATAGTGTTACGTTTGAAGCTTAGTTACTTAACAATGTAAAGTGGCTACCTCTAAGTCCTCTCAATGTCAGTTACACTCGAAGTTCATGTTTTCCCAATGAAACAGGTAGAAAAAAATCAAATAGGACGACATGGAATTCGGTCGGCTGTAAGGTATATGAGAATCGAATGCTTTAATCACTAATTCCTAATAAAATGAGATTACTCATTACACAACAATGCTTTATTATTTCTGTTATTATTATTACTGTCACCATTAATCCATTGTGTTTCACTACCATCTCTTTGACCATATTTATGACATGAAATAATATATTATTTTAACAATGAATGAGAAAGAAATGATTTACTGAAACTCAAAGTGAGACAGATGAACGTACTAATAACAAAACATCAAAATTATAAAACGATTCGTGGCATATTATCACTAATTATTATTCAACATACACCTATATATGAGTATTACAGAATTTTTGGGAAATTATATCCATGAATATTATTTATTTCTAAGATTATTTTCATCAAAATCGGTTGAAAAATAATAAAAGAAATGATAAGCCATTTCAGACTTTTCAACAGTGTGGATTCATGGCATACATTCAACGGGAATTTAGCCACTTTATTGAAATCAATAGATCACTGAAATTCTGCAGATGTTATATGTAAAGATCGACATTTAATCCATTGATGAAAATTTCTCTTTGTTCTCAACTGGGATCTAAAGTTCATAGGTTGTTGCGACATGCACTCTTAAAGAACTCACTATTAGGCATGGAATTTTAATGCTGCAGAAGTATAATTGATACACTATTTACATTCATCAAGGAAAGATATTAGTTGTGAAAGCGCTGAAAACTAGAAAGCTTTAAAAAGCGTTGATTTACAAACGATTTGTTATTTTTAATCGAATTCCTAAGACAGACCAACTCATATATAAATTAAGAATAAAGTTAAGCGTTACTTTCAAATGATTATGCACTCATTAGCTATAGTTTCCCTAAAAGCGAGTCTATAATGTTCAATAAACATAGTTTGGCATGGATGTATTCAGTATCCTTAATAATCTATATAAGTAGATTTACAGTTAATATGTATAAACAAAAGTCAGAGGGTTTTATTTCATTGTTCATTTTTAGAATATATACATCAAAGAATTAATTAAAGTTGTAAATTATAGTTTTCATAAATTTATTTATATACGTGCCACAATCTTCAGTGCTTGAACAACTTTTGACGAACAATACAATCGAGTTACTACAGTGTGAAAACTGGTGATAGTTTGGCTGTTAAAGCCTTGTTTATGAATATATGATAAAATAGGTGTTAGCTTCCAATCACTGCGATTAATTACTAATTGATTGAATATTTTAATCAAAGTTTCCCATATTTTTATACTGTTAAATGTACAGAATTATTCCCTGGACACAGATATATTCACTTGAATGCACTTTAGTCACCATGACAATAAGTGCGCTTGTTTTTTTCTGTTAATTATATTATGTTACTATCCTTTTTTTTCTTGTAAACTTCTCACAACAATTTTCCATTTCTTATAAATTGAATTATAACTGTGATGTGTAGTCGATGTATTCTTCTTGAAGTATGCCTTTTTTCTGCTCCTTACGATACCCTTATTTCCTTCCTTTTGTGTTTTTTTTTCCAATAAACGAATGTGTTAGTGTTTACTCCAGCGTTTTACTTCATTTCGTATATTGATTTACCTGAAAAGTAGGAAAGCAATGCAACGATGTATATATATGCGTCTCGAGGGGTTTAGTTTTACTATTAAAAGTGTGGTGGACCGTGAAAGTTAGCGAAAACTAATACAATATGAACAAATACAATCACTGGTTAGATTGGAATACGCTTCAACGCCTTCGATTTGAGAGAAAACAATTCTATTCACTGAAATCAATCGTAGAATTATGTTGGGGGACGAAAACCATCTAGATGTTCGTATATAAGATTATTATTACAGTGTTATTATTTCTTTTTGTCTTAGTAGAGTGCAGTCAGATAAGTTGAAGTATGAATAAAGTAGTACAAATAATTTAACATGACCTTGATTACGAGTTCAAATCGAATGTATCATTGATTACCAGCAATCATAATCAACGTTAATAGAAGATATTTTTTTCAAGTTTGCTATGAATTAAGCAAAAAAAAGTTGGATAAAGATCATAACAGTAGAATAATTGAGACAGTATCTGTTTATTTTACTGTACTAATGTTTAATTATCGTAGAAATGCAAAAAACACATGAATGAGGATGACTGTTAATTATCCATAAGTATTATTTAAGTTTATTTATGTATTTTTACATCGATATTTTTCAATGTATTTCAACAATTTCGCCCACTTATTAGTTAACACATAAAAGGAGTGATAAGTATCTCAAATAACATTTTAATATAGGTAACCTGAGTAGATTGTTTAATCTGTGATTAGTTTTTATCACGGATTGATATACAATAGAGAATCATTAAAAATCAAGAAGTAGAAAGCCTTCCTAACAAATGCTGACTAACGTGAAACGTAGGTTTAGGCTTTCTTGTCGATTACCTTCAAACACCTAGCATTGTTTATATTATTCTACAATCATTTTTAAGGATTAATTTTTAATGAAATGTAAAGAACTGGATGCCGGCTCAGTGGTCTAGTTGGTTAAACGACTGGCGCGAGACCGATAGGTCTCGGGTTCAAATCCCGCGAGGCGGGGTCAAAGATGCGCACTGCTGAAGAGTCCCCCAATAGGACGAAACGGACGTCCAGTGCTTTCAGGTTTCCAATGGTGGTCTAGCTTCAATTGACTCATGATCTCAGCTGCTGAAATTTTACTTATCTTTATAACCAAAAGAAAAATTTCTAATTTGTTGATTCCTAAAAATGTATACAATTCGATGTTATTTAATAATTCAAAACAGTATATGACTGATCAAAAGATTGATAATAGTTTTAGCGATCTTCAAACTTTTGTTTATTTTTTGGATCATTATTTTT